GTTGGGGTAATAGACGGGGTTAAATTGCAGCATCTGCTCGCATTAGCTGCAGCCCAGTTTAAGAACCTCCGTCGCATATATCTCCCCGTGTTGTCTGCGTTGTTCCGCGGGGGTCGGATATAAAATATCAAGAGGCGACAACGGACGTCAGTTCTCGTGCCAAAAACTGTTTCGTCTTCTTATTGTTCAATATGTACTGTGTATTCAAATAGAGATGGACGTAATGCTGTGATCTAGATAGAAATTTTGTGCCACGAATAAAAAATAATCGTGTAACGAGTGATAAATAAGTGATAGAAACGGAATTAGCGTATTATGCTTGCTTATTAGAAAATAGTCTTTATTATTGGGTATAGTAATAATAGTCTTTAATATTGAAATATTGATATTCAGATATTCTAATAGTCTTTATTACGTATTTTGATGACGATGAATTGTTAACATTGTTCTACACACTGATAGCATATGCTTTTTCAGTTTTTACGAACGAATTTCTTTCTCTTTCAATTACGTGGTAACGTAATCTTGAGGTGAACCGAAAACTACGAAACGATAGGGTGAAATTAAAAAATTCATGAACAAATAAAAGTTTAACTGTTTGATGAAGTAAACTTTGGGAACAACTCGTTATACATTAGTTTTATGCGTAATCTATTATCAAAAAAGTAAAAAAATTACTCCAAGTACATGAAAAAGTGGAGGACTCAAGGAGTTGTCATTGAAAAATAGAAGATTCCTATAAAAAACTACAAGAAAGTACAAAAATATGTGAAATCGAAATGAGCTGCCAGCATATGAGGTGCTTCCCAGCACAGTGCAATGGCGACACTGTGTAACACAATGTAAAATTCGCAATTGCACTGTGCTGGAAAGCACCTCCATGTGCTGGCAGCTCATTTCGATTTCACAAATTTTTGTACTTTCTTGAAGTTTTTTATGGGGATCTTCTATTTTTCAATGATAACTCTTTGAGTCCTCCACTTTTTCATGTACTTGGCGTAATTTTTTTACTTTTTTTGAATTTTTTTATCGGATCTCACTTCTTTTTACAAATCATTTATTATATAGGATCTATTTTAAATTTATAAAAAATAAAATTGATATTTCTGTAAACTCTGCATAAGACGTCTAAATTATTATTATTTTTTTTAATTGAATAAAGTAAAATAAAGAAAGAGGGGATAAAAAAAGCGAATATATATATATATATTTCATATAATTTATTAATTATAAACATTTATTCATTCAATTTATAAATAATTATAAATACCTGCAATTTTTTTTCTTGATGCAAGAAATTTTAATGTTAATGATGAAATGAGAAAATGACTCCATTTCTATACCCAGATAGCACCGGACGTCCCATGGACGTCCATTTTATGTCCAGTTTACGTCCAAACGTCCGACGTCCGTTGTCGGACGTCCGCCCGGAACGTCCTGCGAACGTCCATGGGACCTAAATTCTGTACGTCCCAAGGACGTCCGCTCTAAACTTTCTAGATATAGGGAAAAATACTTTTTTTTTAAACAAAATAAATATTATTTCTTAATATTATTTATTATATAATATCTATTCAATATGTAGAACAGAATATTTTTTTCAGAATATAAAATACACTATTTACAATTGTAAATTAATATTAATTGATTAACCGAACGTCCCATGGACGTACAGAGAACGTACAGAAAACGTTCTGGGAATGTTCAGCACTGGACGTTCTATGGACGTACATAAGACGTTCCTGTTCCTGTGCTATCTGGGTATACAGTCATTATTTAATATTCGCAAGAGAATATTTTTTTCCGTAGATAAAACACATATTTATCTAATATTCGCAACAGAATATATGTTTGAACATGTAAAACAAAATGTTTAATTAATATTAGGAATAAAATATTTTTTGTACATATGAGTTGTGATATGTATGTAATATTTGGAACTATTCAGAATTACCTAGTAAATTAATTCTTCTAACTTTTCAAAAAAAAGTTCAAGTCATTTAGACCAATTTCAAAAGAAGGAATTGTGTTTTAAAAAGTGTCCGCATATTGATGCAAGTCACTATATAGATCTAAAATATGAGTCGTGTTAGCAAAGGCGTTTATGGATAAGTGAGGAAACAGCTTGCGTTGTAGTTCGAAAATCGTGAGTTCGAATCCTGCCGGAGGTAAATATAAAAATTGAAAGAATTGTTCGTCGTTTTCATGGAATCCAGTTACAAGAAATAAATACAGTTAACTAAAATCTACCAACAAATAAAAGAAAATATATAAAATTAAAATTTAATTTTTTTTACATCTCAATTTTTAAAATTTATTCAACATTGTCCAAATATTCAATACACATATCTTCTAAACATAAATTTCATTTTAACGTTCATTTCGATCGTTCGGAAAATGTTTTGGGAATATCTACACCGAACGTTCCAGGGACGTACAGAGACCGTAGAGAGGACATTCTGGGAATGTTCACATCGGACGTCCCAAGGACGTACATAGAATGTCCACGCCGGACGTCCCAAGGACGTACATAGAATGTCCACGCCGGACGTCCCAGGGACGTCCTACGATGTAACTGGGACGTTCCAGGGACGTTCACAGGACGTCCCGAACGTCTTATGGACGTACATAAGACGTCCCTGTGCTATCTGGGTAAGCTCTACATAAAAAGTCTACATTAAAAACACTTTAGTGGTATGGATCTATTCTGTATGAATGAAAATTTTGACAACTTACCTTGTAATAAAAATGGATAAACATTTTACAACAGTTGCTGCAATTTGTTAACGAATAACCTCCAAGCCTGTGGTTCCCTTCATTTGTATAAACTCTGCATAAAAAGTCTAAATTCAAAACACTTTGATGGTATGGATCTATATTAAAAACAGTTTTCTGTATGAATAAAGATATATGGCAATTCAGATTTTAACAACATACCTTGTAGTCAAGATTGATCAACACTTTACAACACTGGCTGCAATTTGTTATTAAATCCTACATAAAAGGTCTAAATTGAAAACATTTTGCTGATATAAATATAATTAATAATGCAATAGTGTAAAAAGTTTTGACACTTGGCAGGTTATGAATGATGACATCTGTTTCGACTCTCGACGCTCGATGCGCGACAAGCCATGCTGAACCGAATGATTCCGAGAGTCGACGAATGACACTCGGCTTTTGCTTAGCTCCTATTGGCTAAGGGTTGACGACGGGAAAATCATACGAAAAATACGGTTTCTGACAGATTCATGACATGATATTACGATATCTTAGTTGTACGTGGACCGATTTTATTGATTTTGGTTTTATTCGAAAGCTTATATGCGGTTTACATTAGAAAAATGCCTTTAAATTTAGAAAATATTGCAGACGTGTTGAGATATTTATGAAAGAAATGTCAGGTTAGGTTGGAATGGACTATCTCTCCTGTAAAAGATACGTGGTAGCTCCAACGCCAGTATATATGCGGTGACGGATAATTTTTCATGTACTTGGCGCCAAAATTTACTAATTTATCTAAAGCTGAAATCGTTCACTGTCGATAATTCGATTTTTCTTTTTTGTTTCAGGTAAGTCACGAAACCTAAACGTAGACGAATCCTTAGATAATTTAGAAAGAAATTTCTCCAAACAGGTATTTATCATAATTACTCATTATTGATAAAAAAAGGATTAGGTTACCTCATTAGTAAGACACTGTTTTGAATATATGTTTAAGATATAAATAAACAAAACTCTCTATATGCAACATACATGCATATACACACGTGCATACATACTACACTAATTAAACATACAATTTCCTTTAGTTTCCTACACCTTTTTTTCTCTACCTAGTAGTTTATCTATTTTAAGATCTGCTCATAAATTTGTACGCAATTATGTTATCGCTTATATTATAAGTAGGCTGCGGATATTTATGCAAGTTAATATTTTTATATATATAAATAAAGAACACAAACTTATATTACAATATGTTTTATCTTCTAAATGTTATAATGCGTATTTTATTTTTTATGTTTACATATTTTTGTATTTCTTTGTATCCTTGTATACTTTTGGATATGTATACTTGTCATAAAATAGCTAACATATTGCGCGACGGTTTTTGTATTAACTTCTTGTGATGTCTCTTTACGTAAAATCACTTTTTTACGATTTGTTGCATCATTGCTACAGATTACTAACAAAATATTATATTTACAATATGAGTGTCCATGAAAGAAAATGAAATAATAAACTGTTTTAAGCAAAGAAGTAAAAACAATCAGGCTTACTCTACTTTATATTTACTACAGGATTGTATTACAGGTTGTATTAAAACTCTAATATTCATTTCTTTCATTCACGTATGCTAATTATAAAAGTACAAGTAACGCATATATATAATTACTTCATTTTGTGACTTAATTTGATTTTCGCGATGATATTATTTAAACATTCTAGAAATGCGATTATAACTTTATATTTAAATTAGTCAAAATATAGAAATTGTCTATTTTATTTAATATCTATCAACGCTTTACCCACGTGAAACAATTATACTCAGTCTCTGTGGTGAACACAAATTATTGAATTTTAATTTCTGACAAATGAGGAAGTCTTTTGAAACGCGTATCAAGAAACATTTGCTGTTAGTTTTTACGTTGAAAGAGCACAAATTTTAAATATGTTTGCGTAGAAAAGGGCTTCAGGATTTTGTTTTCTGTGTTTGTCCTCCTTAAACATCATTCATTATTTCATCATTAGTCATTTCAAAGTAATATTAAAAAAAGAGTTTCATTAAAAAACTAACTCCTAAAGCCCCATTTCACATTAAACTTTTTATATTACCCTTATTCCCCGAAGAACTAAAGAGTATTCTTTTCTCATGAGACGCGTGTATTCTATTTTCATGACCTATGGATGGTAACCTTAATTATAACCTTTAATTCTGTTTTTAATGTCACCGTCGATGTCATCGCTGCGTGTTTTAATCGAATATATTGATTGTTCAGAAACTCGCGTGGGCGAAAGAGAGAAAGAGAGAGGGAGAGAAACGGGGAACAGATAAAATATAATCATCAATACCGAGGTGCAGTCTTCCGTTTCATCAAACCGGTTGGATTATAAACAACCTCGAGAATACGGAAAGAACACTCGTTTGATCGATTTTCTGACTTCTGGTGAGTCACTTTTATTATCATCGAATTATAGTGCGCAAGATGAGGAGCAGTTGCTTATACATACGCCTCCGATCGTTTTGCGACTGTATTTTCTTTTCAAGTTCCTTCTGCTCTGCGTTTTTCTCGTTTTTTCTTTTTGGCTGTCTCCTTTCGTGCAACTTCAAACGTTCGTTCAAAGATACCACGAGCACGTAGCCTGCTTTAATTATTTTATACATATGTATACGCTATTGCAATACGCTAGCTATGATTCTTGCACGTTTTGCACGATCGTCACTGATGTTCGTATACTTTTCATTGTTTCTAGAGGTGGTAGTGTTCGCACCTCAGAAATGAGCGAAATTCTTATCCGGATGAAATTTTTGACTAACGAATAGTAGATAACCAACCGTGTAGGGTAAGAATAAAAGCGTAAGCTAGACCTGTATTGAATTATACAAATAATACTCTAAAACAGTAATTTTAATTTTAAAAAATCGTATGTTTTACCTATGAACTATATAAATATTAGTTTAACCTCATTACTAGAGAATTGCGTTTGATTAATATGAATTTTGGGTACCATACATAATTTTATTTTATTTAAACGTAAATGCAGTTTTAATCTAATGCAGTATAATTATCATAGTTATCGACAATTTTCGCACATCTCTCTGACATACTTCCTATTCTATTTTTGTAAAATGAAGTTGTTTTTTAAGTAAAATACTCTTCAAATGCAATTTTGATAGGTATTAAAGTAAGACATTTTTTCCACGAAAATCACGGTTACCTACATTTGAAAATGTAGTAATTCAACGATGCAGTATCAGGAAAATACGGTGGGTGAGGAAGTATTTTCCAACCAACACTTCAATTCTTTGGCTCATGATTTTCGCATTATGAGGTATTGCAGTATTATGCTGCAGAGTGACACCTTTTCGGTTAATCAGTTTCGAACATTTTTTAGTTAAAGTCATATTTAGTTTATCAAACTGAGCACGATAATATTCAACACTTGTGGTTTCATTAGGATTCAAATTTTCGTAGCGATGAATTCCCAGTTTTAAAGTAGGTAAAAATGTCTTTTATTATACGAAGTGTCGTATAGAATCCACGTTTCTCCTACAGTAACAATTTCTTGAAAAAGGTATGTAACCTTGACAAAAGTGCATTGTTGATGATTACATATTGAATATGGATTTCAACTGAAAGTGGATGATACCCGCATTCCTTTTATTAGTTTGGTACATATGAAATGTCGTTCATACAAATGGAACTCTAACTATATAAAACTATTTTTAATAAAACATTGTACATTTAATTAAAATAATTTTTAAACATAATTCTGTATTTTTATTAATTTTGAATAGATTTCTATTTCATTGCAATAACATTCTGCATTACTTAGGCAATTAGAGGGTAGAGAATGATGATGAATAAGTTAATTTTTTGAAAAGTCATATGTATCAGGACACCTACCTTATATGGATTATAAAAAAAGTTACATATTTATTTAGAAACTGTAACTACATTTACTTTATATGATATATTATACGATATACATAAATTGTGTAAAATGTCTAATTTGTACGAAATATCACTGATATGACCTAAGAATATATTTAAATAAACGTAGCATACACAAAGATTCGCACTGAAACACCATGTGACGTAGCGTGACCATTTCATCAAACAAGATGCAATAAAGTTTATATAAGTATGTAAATTTGATAACTGTATATATAATTAATATAAATACATATATACCACGATCAATATTTACAGCTGAACATGTATTTCAATTAAACCCAGAGAATAAAGGCAATGAGAAATGTTATTTAGCGATAAGCATCATATTTTTGATAAATGTAGCAGGTGTTCTAATACTTATGGCCGGCAGTGTATGTGCGTCACTCGAAGTTAATTTATCAAGTTAAATCATTGTTCGTAGATGGCACCGTTTTCAAGATTTGGGAAAAACCACATCGTTACTTGTAGGTACTTCTAATGTTATGAAAAGTCTGAGCACATTAAAAATTCCATTTCATGCCGCGTCTCAAATGATTTCGACCGTACTTCGAGACGCTGCCGGCTGGCGTCGTAATTTCACGTTGGTAATTAAGGATGAATGGAAAAGGGGAGAAAATATCGATGTCTCTGTATCGGAAAGTTTAATTACGAACGAAACTTGCACGTGGATTCCTTTAATTGGCCGCGGCGGATTTTCTTGCACGCGAGTCCGGAGGCGAGGTTGCGCCCGTAGCGGTACTTCTGCATGAATTATTTCCACGTAACGTGCATTTCGAAAGAGCGGTTTTTCTCGACGGGCGTCTTGCGACACGATCGGCGAATCGCGAGCAACTCTGTCGGGCTGTTTTATTGCGGATGCAATAAAAGTTGCTGCGCCCTCCCACGGTGCATCGCGCGTTGCACATGCAGCCGTCTTCTTATTCTACCGTCTGTTCCACGATAAGGGTTCTTCCACAGACGGAACTGCGTTTCATGCTCGGTCGTTTCGCGGATATTTAACCACTCGGAAGATGTGTATTTTGTTGCTAACCCGATCCTTTTACTAAGGACTCGAAGGTGAAAATGTTATTGGTGGTTGTTTAAAATAAGTGGTTTTTTAAGGAACTGTACTTAATGATATTATTTATTTAACACAATATATATAGCGGTGGATTGCACGTAAGCTAGTGCACTAATATTGAATAATTGATTTAGAGCGCCTTGCCCTGGGTGCCAAAATATACAAATGTATAATTAATATATTATAACCGTATCGCCTAAGTTATTATTTTTATAATAAAAAGTGATATTAAATATGTTGAATGCACTATATTAAATTTTCATTCATCCTTTTTAACAACTCCTAACTCAAACGGCAATAACAATAATCGCTGACCAATTGTAATCAATCTTAACTTGTAGCGCAAACTACGAGGTATCTCGTAGTTGACAGTGAATGGGTTAACTGATTCTGTAAACTTTATATTTAACAATTTATAACTCTAATTTATGTAGAAATATTGACTCGTCATTTTATTACGTTACAGTGCTAATCTTCTAAGTTCTTTACCCGATCTTCATTACAATAAATCTACGTATTGCGTAATCTAACAATAAGCCTTAACCTGACTATTAAAACGTATATACAGTGGGTGTAGAATGTATTCGTGCACCGATCAATTTCCCAAAAAACTTTTCTGTGAAATTGTAGTTTCTTAACTTCCTTTTTTCCTACAATGATATTTTACATATTCTCGGAAGTCTCTGAGATAGATATACTCCAAACAACATTTACTAGTTAATATAATTTGTGAAATTAACAAAAAAAAATGCGAAAAGTGGGTAAAAGTATAGAAGCAATAAGTATTTGTACGATTCTTACGACGAACCATTTATAGCAGAGTATGTAACGTAAACACATTAGTTTATTGCTCCGTGTGAATTAGAAAACATCAAATTTCCAGCAAAGTACTTTTAAACAGTTGTGCGAATACTTATTGCTTCAATATTTCTATCGATTAATTATTTTTTTCTTGTTAATTTCGCAACTTATATAAATAGCTATTTTTTTGTAATCTATCTATTCTAGAAATTTCCTAGAACATGTAAAATGTCATTGTTTATCAAAAATAAGTTAATAAATTACAATTTTACAAAGTTAAATATAATAAATTGATCGGTGTACGAATACTTTCTACACCCATTGTATATTATACAAAATTTAGTAGCCACAACATTTTGCTTATTATCATTCTTCTAACAGGTTACAAGTGTACTTTACAAGTGTACTTTACAAGTCTATTTAATTAAAATACCCATCGATAAAAATTCGTTTGATTTTATGATTGATTGATGGAGAGATAATTTTTCTCGTGGAATTTTTTTGCTGGCGATATTAATTACATTAATGAAACTGAAGTTGTACGAATGAGTCTAATATAAATACAAAAATTTCATACTACTATTTATATTATAAATGTGATTAAAGCTCTAATTGTAGATCTCTTTCGTTTATGTTTATTTCAAAAGTACTTGGACAATAACACATTGAAAGCAAGTGAATGTTACAAATTGCTCTTTATAATTAGCAAAAGCAGAGATTTGCCTTTACATATATCATCGTTAACTACATTAAGCAAAATAATTATTACGAGTTTTATCTCTTTGGAGTATAGTTTAAAATAATGGTTACCTTCTATTGAAGATTCTCATCATTTAATTAAAATATTATATTTACGTTACAAAATTAAGTATTATCTTAAAGAAATATTTTTATCTTATTAAATATTTTAAAATGTACTTTACATATACAAAAAAATGATGCTCCTCCCTGTGTGGCCACCCTGATTATTATTTTCCAAAGCGTTTCTCGCGTACTCCTTTGTTTTGATTCTACTACCTTACTATTTCCAAATCTATCATTAAAAATAAAAATGTACCTATGCGACAAGTACGAGATTAATCATTGAGAATATTGCAGTTATGCAACATGCTTTAGTACCAGTACTGGCACTTTTTCATCACTAGTAGCCATACTTTTGATTTCACACGAATATTGCTTAGATCATGGTTTTATTCTTCTGAGTATTGTTGTGGTTAAAATTAATTTGTATCGAATGGAAATTAGGACTCTTTAGATGCGTTGCTTTGATCGATGAAATATTAATTATTCATGAAAGTTGTCGGGTAGAATCTGTGTTAAAAAAAAAACAGTAACAGCAGAATATATTTACGTGAAAAGAATAGAACGACCAAATGAAACGAAATATTGATTCTACTTGTACCCTGTAACAGTAAAGGCGCGCAGGAAATTAATAGAAAATAATATTTCAAGGAATATAATTTATAATTGTTTTTTGGACAACCGTTCGAATGAAAACATAAATTCGTATAACTGTGTTTGCAAACGCGCGTAGTGGTTGGAAATTTGCACACCGTTTTACAAAAACCCATGAATATTTGAATTTTGTATAAAAATCGATGAAAAATTGCACCAGAGAAAAAGGTGT